TAAGGTATTTTGTTGCAAGCAGAGGAGTGGAGGACTCTTCTTGTGAAATATCTCTGGACTCGTTTGATTGTATTAATGTTCGATATGCAGTGCAGGTTCCAGACAGATGAGCTGTATTCAAGAATTGGTTTGGCAAAAGTTTTCTATGCCCTAGTTTGCAGTTCAATATTACCAGAGAAGAAGCTATGCAAGATTAGGTTAACAACTCTTAGTGCTTTTTTAGCAATGCTGTTACAGTGTGCTCTGGCACTTAGATCATTTGAGATGAGTACTCCAAGGTCTTTTTTATATATTTTTTTTATTATAGACATAAATAAGATAGGAATGGGATTCAAAAATTAAGCAGGATCTGAGTGTGAGTCTTGTTTAAATGTAGTAAGGTCTGCATGAACATTCTAGATCCAGGTTTGCCTACCTCTTGACCCCAGCCCATGAACTATGGATTGTGGTTTACCAGATGGTCAGTCCAACTATTGTGTTTTCAGTCATGATACACCAAGAGTTTATCCAGCTTCTAATAAGCCTTCACGTGTGGCTGATGTAGTCTAATTGTACTCTGTTTGGTTTGATGGATCATAAGTTGTATGGTCTACTCTGACATGAGTAGGATTTTTCACCAGACCTATTTCTGTGTCTATTTCTGTGTCATTAGCCAACCTTTTCATTGGAGATCATGAAGCAGTCACTTCAGGTAGCAGACCAATGTATAGTTTCAAACCAATTTGCTAGTGGAATGGTGATTGGTTATATTGCCACCAGTGGAGAAAGGACATATTTCTATTATTGCTCCAAGCCCCAGTGGGGACTAGAAGCTCCTCACCTCTAGACAAGACCTTTCTTCATCAGGTTGCTCTACCTGTGGGCCCTGCACAAAAGCAAGTGAAAGACAAGGGCTATCTTGGATAGATGGATGGATGGATGGATGGATGGATGGATGGATGGATGGATGTTGGATGGATGGATGGATGGATGGATGGATGGATGGATGGATGGATGGACAGATGGATGACTGGATGGATGGATGGACGGATGGACGGATGGACAGACAGGACAGATGGATGGACAGAAGGATGGATGGATGGATGGATGATTGGATGGATGATTGGATGGATGGATGGATGAATGGATGATTGGATGGATGGATGGATGGATGGATGGATGGATGGATGGATGGATGAATGGACAGATGGATGACTGGATGGATGGATGGACGGATGGATGGATGGACAGATGGACAGATGGATGGACAGAAGGATGGATGGATGGATGGATGGATGATTGGATGGATGATTGGATGGATGGATGGATGAATGGATGATTGGATGGATGGATGGATTGATGGATGGATGGATGACTGGATGGATGTATGGATGGATGGATGGATGGATGGATGGATGGATGGATGGATGAATGAATTGGTAACTGGTAGATAATTATCCTATCTCAGGTAAAGGATCTCCTTAAATCACTCTTGCCAATTGGCAAGGGTGTAGCAAGTGAAGTTTTCTCTGACATTGAGAAGAGCCTACAGGATATATCTTAGTTTTTTCCTATTGAGATGAGACACTGCTAGAAAGACATTATAGTAAGACACCAACCAACCCACTCTTCTCCAGTTGTGTCTGACTCTAGGGGGCAGTGCTCATCTCTGTTTCTTAGCTGAGTGAGCCAGCATTGTCCAAAGATGCTTCTGTAGTCATGTGGCAGGAATGACTATATGCCGAGGCCTGCCAAATGCTATATTAATGAGGAAATGATGTAAATTAAACAGTTGCCCATTTCCAGATTTTAAGTATGTCGTTATTGTTTTTAAGTGCCGCAGTGGAAGAAGTTATGAATTGAGAAGGATGTTTATTGCTACAATTTGTAAATAATGAAATAAATGACCAAGTCCATCATAAAACAAAGCAGCAGCTATCACTTTCTCTTGAACTGCTCTCTTCCTTTCTCTAGATAAGTCCCCACTCCACCCATCTCTGGCTTTAGCAGATAACTCTTGTTATCTTTTGCATGACTGTTGAAATAGAGGGAAAAGGAAGTTAATTAAGAACTCCTGATATTCATTCCCCGATTTCATTGCTTTCATGTGAGTGATTGTCAATGTCTTTCGTGCCTGTCACAAAATAATGTGATGAATTTACTGGAATATGCAGCATGGCTGTGATAAAAATCAGCTGGATGAACTATAAACTTATGCTACAATTTAATACGAATAAGCCACAGTGAGTCTCAGGCTTGTGTTCTCGTGTCTCCTTTCTCGAGATATAGATCAAAACTTGAAGATCACAAGTGAAAGTCTGCAGACTGTATCTTCCATCATCGTGGACTAAAAATTGAAATAACTGGCACATTGCATCAATCCCTAATATGGCTTATCAGTTGAGTTCTTGGTGTTCTCTGAGTTTGATTAGCTTCCTGCATCACTGCGCTGATGAAGTTACCCGAAGGAAAAGAATCAAGCTCAGAGAATATCAAGAACCCAACAATTGAATCCTGACCTACATAGATAACAATAGCATTTAGACGTATATGCCACTTCACAGTGCTTTCATAGCCCTCTCTAAGCGGTTTTACAGAGTCATCTTATTGCCCCCAACAATCTAGGTCCTCATTTTTACTCACCTCGGAAGGATGGAAGGCTGAGTCAACCTTGAGCCTGGTGAGATTCAAACTGCCAAATTGCAGGCAGCTGGCAGGCAGCAGAAGTAGTCTGCAGTACTGCACTCTAACCACTGTGCCACAGTGGCTCATGGCTCATAGATACCTACTATGATATGATTTATTAGTGTACAGTTAGTACATATGAGGTGTCTGATGGGTATACGCCTGTCCTATTTTTTTAAAAAAAAATTTTTTTTGTAGAATTATCTCTTAATAAGGACAGTCGCCATGACTTTCCACACCTCAGTTAAGTCCCAAAGAAGACCTCCTGAGCAAGCATTTCTCATGATGGAGTTTTGGACAGCTAAACATAAGCAGCCAAAGAAGCTACAAGAGCGATGCAGAGATTGTGAATCAAACAATAACAACAGCATCCTTAGTTTACAATCCAAAATGAGATTAAAAACACATGCAAAGAGATTTGGAAAAACTTTAAAGCACCCTGAAAATGAGGACAGGGGCATAATATTACTAAATCCTGACCTTCCAAGTGAAGATTAGTCTGAGGAAGGTTGTAAGGCAGAAGAATGCCTATGTTATGAATTTTCCTTGCAACGCTTCAGGTCTCAACCTTCAATTATCTGGCAAAGCTCTCGCCCCTTGGACTCTTGCCATGAAAGCCTTGCTTTACGTTTTGGCCTGCAACAGGTTTATGAATTGTTTTCTGTAGGAATTCTTTCCATACCTTTGTTACTTCTGAAGGTGTTTTTCTTCCCTACGCCCAGCCTTCCTTTCGCCAGTCACCCCTGTAGAAAAGTCAGTCTTCTGTTTCGCGGATTTGCCTCGAGAGACCTAGGACTGAACTGTGTTGGCAGGCACAGAAACTTGGTTGGGTTCTCTTGGCTCAGCCACCGACAGAGCCCAGAGCGATATGCCAGGAATGTAGCATAAAAATGAGGAAAGCTAAAACTGGCCTACTACCAAGGACAACATCATGTAAGATATTAAAAAAAACAAGGCATCTGTCTCAGGTCTAGTCTAGACCGCTGGACAAAGACCAACAATTATATAGTGTAGCAGAGCAGTGTCCCATTGTTCTGTTGGATGGTAGTCATGCTTTGATTATGCTTAGGAACTATATTATAGTACCACCCTACCCTACCCTACCCTACCCTATCCTACCGTACCAAACCATACCCTACCTTACTCTACCATACCGTACTGTACCCTACCCTATTCTACCCTACCCTACCCTACCAAACCATACCCTACCGTACCGTACCCTACCATATCCTACCCTATCCTACCCTACGCTACCATACCATACCATACCATACCATACCCTACCCTACAAACCATACCCTACCCTACCTTACAAACCATACCCTACCCTACCCTACCATACCATACCCTACCCAACCATACCCTATCCTACCCTACCCAACCATACCCTACCCTACCCTACCCAACCATACCCTACCCTACCCTACCCAACCATACTCTACCCTACCCTATCAAACCATACCCTACCCTACCCTACCCTACCCTACCCTACCCTACCATACCATACCATACCATACCCTACCATACCATCCTAGGAACTATATTATAGTACCTCTATATTTGTAGAGGTACTATCAAAAGGGATCAACACAAATATTTCTTCTATATATGACACATGTTTGTTGAATGTGGTCAACCCTTCTCCTTCATGGCTAGCTTTCCAGGGTTTCAGGCATTCTCCATATTTGTCCATAGCTGTCATTATTTAACATGCGGATGCCAGGATTGAAATATTGGTCATCCTGTGTAAAAGAGCACACTGGAGCTGACTTTCGCATTATATATATTTCCAAGTTGTCCTGGCCATAGGCTCCAGCAGATGGGTGGTGCTGAATGAAATAGCACTCCAAATGACTGATGGGGAAAGCTGCATCCACATGGTTACTTTTTCCATGTAGCAGAACATTTAGCTCAGTCCAACTCGGTTATTTTCCCCCATCCATCATGAAAATCTTGTCAGCTCCAAATTCAGGGAGTTACATTCAGCGTATATCCATAAAGCAACCGTCTGGAGAAGGATGGCTTAGTTCTTCTGAATCTGGCAGATTACCCAAAACAAAGGGAGGTGCTCTTCTCCACAGATACAGCATGCAACTCTTCTATTCTAGGTTCTTGCAGCTTGCTCAGATTAAAGCAAAGAACCCATAAATTTGGTTCAGTGGTTGGGTGGAAGCACAAAAGGTTTCTGGTTCAATTTGCAACTCTGGGGTGAATGCCAGTTTCAGATCAAGCCTTTCCGGGTATCTCTTTGCCAGCTGTGAGAAGGAGATGCAAGCTGAGCTTCTACCCTAGGTATAACATCTGCTTTAATTTCTGTTTCTCCTGTTGATATCTAGGAGGCCCTCTCAGTGGTGAGTGAAGATCAATCACTCTTTGATTCTACCTACGGAGCTGGTGCTCACCTTTCCAAAGCAGACATGACAGCCTCAGGGAACCCGGATTACGGTCAGCCACATAAGATCAACCCTTTACCTCCCCAGCAAGAGTGGATCAATCAGCCAGTCCGTGTCAATGTTAAGAGAGAATACGATCATGTGAATGGATCCAGGTAAGGATGGACAAGTGCCTATCTGCAGCACAATAAAGTGGGCTATCTTATCAGGGCTACAAATATCCAATCAGCCACCAGAGGGCAGCAAAGATATACAGATAGTTGTAACTTTGCTGCCATCTAGAGGGAATAAGAATTTTGTATCTCAGATGTAATTAGACGTAATAGTTAAGTGGTTATATACAGTTTGATGACACAGGGAAGCTTGGATCTCAGGAAGAATGATGAGAATGGGGTACATTACATATTATGTATCTGGGCTCTCTTCCATTCATTAGCTTTTCATATAGAGACACTATGTGTTTCTCTTATACATGCACACAAATGCACAAACAAATCCATTCATAAAATCACTACCAAGAGAAATGATAGGAAAGCAATTTCCTCTTGTAGTTTACTGGCGAATCAACAATAAGTCATATCAGTATGTATTGCATAGGTTTTCTTAAGCCAGATTCGAATCAAAACATGCATTTGCTCTTTAATGACACTTTTAGCCCATGATCCAATAATTATACCAGAATCCTGACTTCGCCTTCTTTTGCAGCCATGCACACATTCATTCCTTGCTCTTTAATCTTCGGTGACATCCCTAGTCAGGATGTCACAGGAGCAGGGGGTTGGACTAGAAGATCTCCAGGGTCCCTTCAAACTCTTGCTCTGTTCTGTTCTGTTCTGTTCTGTTCTGTTCTGTTCTGTTCTCGTCTCGTCTCGTCTCGTCTCGTCTCGTCTCGTCTCATCCATTCCATTCCATTCCATTCCATTCCATTCATTTCTATTTATATTATTTCTATTATTTCTATTATTTCTATTACCCCTGTTTTCCTGAAAATAAGACGTCCCCTGATAATAAGCCCAATTGGACTTTTGAGCACATGCCATAAAATGACCCCCCCCAAAAAAATAAGCACTCCCCAAAAATAAGCCCTCCCTGAAAATATTTAAACATGTGCACAGCCAGTCCCCAATATTTCCTCTGGTTAGGGTTTGGGAGACAGAGCTGGAAATCAGGTAAGATGGCAAGAGGAGCCCCGTCTTGCTCCACATGCCCCAAAATAATAATATCTCCCCGAAAAGGCCAAGCGCTTATTTCGGGGTTCAAAAAATATAAGACATGGTCTTATTTTTGGAGAAACATGGTATTTCTATTTCTATTCCATTCCCGATTAAGTTGTATCTCTGCCTAATATGAGCAAATTAAGAAGCAGTGCCCACAGGCAGCTCAGAAGGAAATAGCTGGTACATTATGGGGACAATATGTAATTCTGGGCAAGCGAAACCAGTTTAAAATTATTACCCTCCTAGGGAGAAGCAGATAAATATTTGTGAATGTAGGTCTGGATTGGATTATTACTGCCGTTATTGTTTCCCAAAGATGTCCTCAAGACAACTGGGACAAGTGCTTCATTGATGAGTTTAAAGATTGGACTTTGGAGATTGAACATGAAGATGGAAGGACTGAGATTGAGATCAAAGAGTTTGCAGTGATGGTTCTAATGTAGAAATTAATGACAGCAAATTAATTTAAGATAGCAATAGCACTTAGACTTATATACCGCTTCACAGTGCTTTACAGCCTCCTCTAAACGGTTTACAGAGTCAGCCTCTTGCCCACAACAATCTGGTTCCTCATTTTACCCACCTTGGAAGGATGGAAGGCTGAGTCAACCTTGAGCCTGGTGAGATTCGAACTGCCAAACTGCTGGCAACCGGTGATCAGCAGAAGTAGCTTGCAGTACGGCACTCTGTCCCTCTCCTATTGGCTATTTTGCGCTGCACAGATTTCCTTGGTCATTTTAGCTTGGGCCACAGGAAAGACTGGACACTTGGCCAACACTTTCCAAAGCATAAGTCTGTATTATGCAGGCTCTTTGTTCACTCCTTTTTCCCCCCCAAAGAGCAGTGAACCTGATTTAGAACAAACTGAATAAATAAATAGGATGCATATGTGCATATATGGGGGTGATATTGGCCCCTTGGGCCCCCTACATCTGCAAGCCAGCTGGGGAAGCCTCCAGAAAACACTCATCCTCTTTTTTCTACGTTTTCCATTAACCTCATGAGCTGCTTCTCCTCCACCCCACCCCCCAATGCTTCATTCAAGATTCTGGGGAAAAGCCCGTGTGCAAAATGAACTAGAGAAGAGGTGCAAAATAGATTGCTTAGGTAATAAGAATAAGAACAATAAGGATAACAATATCCTCTTCCCTTCCTTGGTAAGGCCACACTTGGAATATTGCATTCAGTTTTGGTCACCATGATGTACAAAAGATGTGGAGACTCTAGAAAGAGTGCAGGGAAGAGCAACGAAGGTGATTAGGGGACTGGAGGCTAAAACATATGAAGAACAGTTGCAGGAACTGGGTATGTCTAGTTTAATGAAAAGAAGGACTAGGGAAGACATGATAGCAGTGTTCCAATATCTCAGGGCTGCCACAAAGAAGAGGCAGTCAAGCTATTCTCCAAAGCAGCAGAGGGCAGGAGAAGAAGCAATGGGTGGAAACTAGTGAAGCAACCTAGAACTAAGGAGAAATTTCCTGACAGTGAGAACAATTAATCAGTGGAACAACTTGCCTCCAGAAGTAGTAAATGCTCCAACACTGGAAGTTTTTAAGAAGATGTTGGATAACCATTTTATTTATTTATTTATTTATTTTATTTCTTAGATTTCTATGCCGCCCTTCTCCCGTAGGACTCAGGGCGGCTCACAGAATAAAAAACATATAACAATAAATAAAACTAAAAACATCCAAATGTAAAAACCCCAACAACTAAAATCTCATAACAGATCAGGGAATTTGCTGAAAAAGCCATGTCTTCAGTTCGGCGTGGAAAGTGTGGAGGTCGGGGGCCGTCCGAAGCCCGGTGGGTAATTCATTCCAGAGGGTTGGTGTGGCCACCAAGAACGCCCACATCCTGGGGGCCACCAGCCAACATTGTCTGGCCGATGGCACCTGGAGGAGGGCAGTCCTATGTGACCGCACTGAGCGGTGGGAGGCCGGTAGGAGTTGGTCCTGCAAGTACCCCAGGCCCATACCATGTAGGGCTTTATAGGTCAAGACCAGCACCTTGAAGCAGATCCGAAGGGCCACCGGTAACCAGTGCAGCTTGTGCAGGAGAGGTGTTACACAGGAGTAACGGGAGGCTCCTGTAACAACCCGCGCAGCCGCATTCTGGACCAGTTGAAGCCTCTAGGTGCATCCCAAGGGCAGCCCCAGGTAGAGGACATTGCAGTAATCCAGCTGAGAAATGATGAGAGCGTGAGTGACTGTACGAAGGGCATCCCTGTCTAGGAAAGGGCGCAACTGGCGCACTAGGCGAACCTGTGCAAAAGCCCCCCTTGTCACGGCCGTCAGATGATCCACCAGGGACAGCCGAGGATCAAGGAGGACACCTAGATTTGTTTGAAGTGATGTAGGGTTTCCTGCCTAAGCAGGGGGTTGGACTAGAAGACCTCCAAAGTCCCTTCCAACTCTGTTATTCTATTCTTATTCTAGTCTCCTTGAATGCCAATTAATTCCATTTCAAAATACAAAATATAGAAATGCTGAGAGTTAGAATTAACATGGTAACTCATCATCCAACTTTGTAACGCTTGCATGGTATTAATTTTATTTGGTACCTAGTTTTTAATTGGTTAATGAGCTCTCAAATATTCTTTCCGCTTTCTTGAGATACACTGAGTTTTAATGCTGGTGGAGGAGCAATCTTTATTCAAAAAACCAGGGTCTTTTATATGTTGTGTTTATTGATGCAGACATTTTAAGAATGGCCCGTAAAACATAAACTGTGATTGTGCCTGAGTGCATAGAACATACTGATATCAGAGGCATTTTTTTTTACATGTGATATATCAAATGGCCTTAACTTGTTATCATCTGTGGAATGCCTTCCCTTTATCTTGCTTTCTTTTGGGTGGGAGATGGGGGATTTACTGGGATAATAATATATGCTTACCTCTTGATTGCCTACATCAGGCGTCTCTAAAGTTGGCAACTTTAAGACTTGTGAATTTCAACTCCCAGAATTCCCCACCCAACCACAAAGTCAAGTCTTAAAATTGCCAAGTTTGGAGACCCCTGTTCTACATGGCTTCTAAATGTTACCTGCAAAGACATTCCCATCTTGAATTTTGGCTGACCTGAGATCTTTTCTCCAAATTACAGTAGTGGCCAAAATTGTGGAAACCTTTTGGGAAAAGTGTATTTTCTAAAACTAGCTAATAACACCACTTTTTCTGGGAGTAGTACCATAAAAGTATATATCAATGAAAAGATAATTTAAAAAAGAATGTAATGCAATAACTTATGAAGGATTTGCTATTAGAATAGCAGTTGCAATATAAAGAAGAAAAGTGAAACACGTAGCAAAAATGAGATGTACAACAATTATCACCATAGAAAAAATGAGATCAGTGAATATTTAGTTGGGTAACCTTTAGCATGAACTACAGCCTTACAACATCTTCCCATGGAGTGAACCAAGTCTTTTAGTTCCACGGCTGTTCTAAAGTGAAACCAAGATTGAAGGATTGCTTCTATTAACTGGGTTTTATTGCTGGGTCGCTTCTGATTAACAAGTTTCTTTAGGCGGCTCCATAGATTTTCAATTGGGTTAAGTAAGGTCTGGGCTATTCCCAGGCCATTCCAGCAGTGGAATAGGATTATCTTGAAACTCCCCAAAAAAAATGGTGTTATCAGCCATCAAACCTCAAAAATGCACTTTTCCCAAAAGGTTTCCACAATTTTGGCCACTCCTGTATTTCATGTCTACCCACAAAGCAGTCTTCAACTGACCGATGAGTAGGTAGGCATGCTTCTCTAACCTTGTGCCCCAGCCCAGTAGGCCTCGTTGTCACGTAACCCATCCAGTGTAGCTAACATGGTCGCTTCTGCCTCATTGTCACCCAAGAAAATGTAGATGGACATTTTGGTAAAAATGACTGTATTTGAAATAGAAATGCATCAGAGTCATGGATGGGTATGGGTACATTTTATGAATGGACATGCTTCTTGATCCATGCATCTCTCAGTTCTGTGATGAGCTTTTATCTTTCATTAGATTTAGTTTGGATTGCCTCCATGGGTGAGGATAAATTTTCAAATCAAGGTCCGATTTCTGTCAGACCTCCTAATACAGTACATCCTAGCTGTCCTTTGGAAGTTCAGATTGATAATAGAATAGAATAGAATAGAATAGAATAGAATAGAATAGAATAGAATAGAATAGAATAGAATAGAATAGAATAGAATAGAATAGAATAGAATAACAGAGTTGGAAGGGACCTTGGAGGTCCTTTAGTCAAACCCCCTGCCTAGGCAGGAAACCCTACACTACTTCAGACAAATGGTTATCCAACATCTTCTTAAAAATTTCCAGTATTGGAGCATTCACAACTTCTGCAGGCAAGTTGTTCCACTTATTAATTGTTCTAACTGTCAGGAAAAACTTCATTTTACCCTAGTAACAGCAACCTTATGAAGTTAAATTGGGCTGGAATAGTGACTTGCTTCAAATCACCAATAAGGTTCAATGGTTGTTGGGACCTGAATCTGAGTGTCACCAGTCCAATGTCAGTAGTTGAGCCTCTATACTCCAATAGGCAGTCCAATGAACTATAGTGGCTCTTATCTATGCCAGAGTGTCTGTAGAATCAGGAACCTTCTAGACCTGGTTTTACCTACTTAGCAGTCTCCAGACCAGAGGTGGGTTTCAGCAGGTTCTGACCAGTTCTGGAGAACCGGTAGCTGAAATTTTGAGTAGTTCAGAGAACCGGTAATAAAAATTCTGACTGGCCCCGTCCCATCTATTCTCTGCCTCCCAAGTCCCAGCTGATCGGGAGGAAATGAAGATTTTGCAGTAACCTTCCCCTGCCATGCCCACCAAGCCATGCCCACCAAGCCATGCCACGCCTACCAAGCCACACCCACAGAGCCGGTAGTAAAAAATTTTGAAACCCACCACTACTCCAGACATACTGTTGATTGTAGCTTCCAGAATTCCCAGGCAATATTTCCAAGGTTAAATTGGCTAGGGATTCTCGGATTCATGTTAGAAGGGACTTCATAGGTCATCTGATCCAACCTTTTGCTCACTGCAGAAATGCACAAAACTATTCCAAATCTCTGCCATCAAGCCCACATAAAAATCTTAATATTTCTGGAAAGCACCAAGTTGTCAAAGTTTGACTTAGACCCAGGTAAGGTTAAATTGATAAATCTACCACCCTGGTCACTGTTAATGTCATTCTGTCTTGTCTCTCCATGTTGGCCTGTTGGCCATCAAATCGTGCTTTGAAGAAGACTATAATCCTTTAGATGAAACTGCAGAGTGCCAGACATTATAGTTTTTAACCCTGACACAAAGAATGTCTGTGACCCGTGAGAAATTAATTCTCCTTTCTCTCTCTCTCTCTCTTTCTCTCTCTTTCTTTCTCTTTCTTTCTTTCTCTTTCTTTCTTTCTTTCCTTCCTTCCTTCTTTCCTTCCTTCCTTCCCTCTTTCCCTCTTTTCTTTTTTCTTTCCCCTTCCCACCTTTCTTTCTTTCTTTCCTTCCTTCCTTCCTTCCTTCCTTCCTTCCTTCCTTCCTTCCTTCCTCTCTTTCTCAATCTTTTTCAATCTTTCTTTCTTTCTCTTTCTCTCTCCCTTTTTCTCTCTCTTCATTCCTGCTGTTGCTTAAAACTTTTTCTGCCTGCCACGGGGACATTAAAACGATCAGCAATTTGCCTCTCTAAAGACCGCCTTTGGTTCCATGCCTGGAAAAACAGTAGGCGAAATCGTACAACCTTAAGTTCTAACATGTGTAAGTTATACATCTTATTTCCATTTCCAAGCAGTCCTTCGCCCCAAAAAGACATGAGGAAAAAATTACCGTCTGCCTCTGAATATCTCAACAGAAAGTTTATCTCCCAGCCATGATAACTATGCTAGAATAATTCTGCCTCTGTGCCTTAGCAAACAAAATTTAAAGTTCTCTGTTGGATTTTTACTCTGTTTACTGAATGGACTGGATTCTTTCAAAGCTTGTTTTTCTTGTGGCTGTTGGTTGGGTCAGGTAACATGGCTCATGAATTCAAAGAAAATGTCATAGATGAAACATAGCAATAGGATCTAGATATGTCTACCAGTAATCATGGGTATGGAACTCATCACTTGAGCTGGCTGATATATATAAAACTTCATTTGTGAGTTTAAGTTTCTTCTGTGCCTAGTTGGGATGTTTATCCCTACTGCTCTTTTACTGACCTGACAGGTGGACATTAAGATGGAGTAACCATGTGACTTAGTAGAGAGACATTGCTGACCCCTTGGGATCTTGCAATCCTCTCCCCTATGTTTTTGAACACTGATGGCCAGAATCTCTCAAATAAAATGAAAGGCCATCTCGACTTCTTCTGGTGCATAAAGTATACAATGTATAATAATGCCTGTATTGGATCAGACACAGGTCTGTCTAAATCAGCTAGATCTCGGGAAGAGATGGGCTCCAGATGATGAGGTTCTAGGTCTTAGGAGAACTCACTGTTAAGCCCTTGTGAGTCCATGAAGAGAACTGAGTTTTGGAGCAGCTTAATCTTCAGGTCCAGAGGTGAAACCATAAACAGGACTTCCCTTACTAACTTTAGCATGTGAGTTCAGTAATGTAAGGTAAAGGTAAAGGTAAAGGTTCCCCTCGCACATATGTGTTAGTCGTTCCTGACTCTAGGGGGCAGTGCTCATCTCCGTTTTAAAGCCGAAGAGCCAGCGCTGTCCGAAGACGTCTCTGTGGTCATGTGACTGGCATGACTCAACGCCAAAGGTGCACGGAACGCTGTTACCTTCCCACCAAAGGCGGTCCCTATTTTTCTACTTCCATTTTTTACATGCTTTCGAACTGCTAGGTTGGCAGAAGCTGAGACAAGGAACAGGAGCTCACCCCGTTACGTGGCATTAGGGATTCAAACTGCTGAACTGCCGACCTTTCGATCGACAAGCTCAGCGTCTTAGCCACTGAGGCACTGCATCCCTTCAACGTAATGTAATGAGTAATGTAGTGGAAGATATTTATGGACTTGAGTAATCATCCACTAAGGGCTTTAAATATATTATTATAAATACCATACCCACTGTTGATACCACTACATTTTCTAACCCTGGTACAGATACACAGAACTATGATTTCTATACATGTATTCCTTGACTTATAACCACAATTGAACCCAAAATTTATGTTGCTAAGCAAGACAAATGGTTGCCCCATTTTACAACCCTTCGTGCCACAGTTGTTAAATGTATCACTGCAGTTGTTCAGTTAGTAACACGGTTGTTAAGAGAATCTGGCTTCTCCGTTGACTTTGCTTGTCAGAAGGTCGACAAAAGACGATCATATGACCCCGTCATAAATATGAGTCAGTTGTCAAGCATCTGAATTTTTGATCATGTGACCATGAGGATTCTGCAATGGTTACAAGTATGAAAAACGGTCATAAGTCACGTGCTGCTGCGGCTTCGAACGGTCACTAAATGAATGGACGTCAAGGACTACCTGTTATTTCCATCATGAATGAATACATTCCTTTGGCTTTAACTTGTAGTGTTGGCAAAAGGATCCAGAAACCAAAAAGCAAAGATGGATTAATGGCAACTGTGTTTCTATTTTATTTTATTTTATTTTATTTTATTTTATTTTATTTTATTTTATTTTATTTTATTTATTTTATTTTATTTTATTATTTTATTTTATTTATTTTATTTATTTTATTTTATTTTATTTTATTTATTTATTTTATTTTATTTATTTTATTTACTTTACTTTACTTTACTTTACTTTACTTTACTTTACTTTACTTTATTATTTATTTATTTATTTATTTTGTCAAGCATGTATCAGATAACAGATACAGTATAAACATGATTATGAATACAGGAAATGGGTACAAATAAATGGGGACATTAGGACAGGGACGGTAGGCACGTTGGTACTTACAGACCTCTTAGGAATGGGGTGAGGTCAACAGTAGACAGTCTAAGGTTAAAGTTATGGGGGTTTGAGGATGAAACCACAGAGTCAGGTAGTGCATTCCAGGCATTGACCACTCTGTGCATTCCTATTTCAGAGAATCTCCAGTGGATTGCAGTGTTAGCAAATGCAACAAACTCGTTGGTGCTGGTCCAGAATCCAACCCTCTGAATTACGGCACCTACATAGATGAGAAGAACGGACCTCCCCCTCCCAACATGACCACCAATGAAAGAAGAGTCATTGTTCCAGCAGGTAAGAGGCCACCTTCAAAATATCCTTTTGAATATTTTCATCCTTGCAGAAATTTGGTCTTGAAATCAGTATGAATTCTTACCACAAAAAAAAAAAAAAAATCTACAAAGCCCTTCATGGCCTAGGTCCGGGATATTTGTCAGACTCCCTGCAGCCAGCAACAATTCCCAATCGCCCGGTGTGTTCCCACAGACAGGGCCTCCTCAGGGTGCCGTCGGCCAGACAGTGTCGGCTGGCGACCCCCAGGGGAAGAGCTTTCTCTGTGGGCGCACTCATACTCTGGAACCTCCGGATGGCCCTTGACCTTCGCTCGTTCCGCTGCGATTTGAAGACCTTGTTGTTCCGTAGCCTGGACTGATGGGGGGTTTCTTAATGAATTTTAAATTGTTTTAAATTGGAATTTTAATTTTATATTGTCTTTTAATGAGGAACTGTGCATCTTTACCGTTGTGAGCCGCTCTGAGTCCTTGGAGATAGGGTGGCATATAAATTGCATTATAATAAATAAATGAGGAGAGTTGACTCTTGGACATCATCAAGAGTTGAGTCTTCAGAAACGGATAGCTGACTCATCTACAGCAAGGAGGGACAGGCGTTACTATGAATTACTAATCTTGTGATCTTGGCCAGAAATAAATCTCAGTAGGTACGGACAGGACTTACCCATCAAGTAAATGTGGGTAACAAATTGCAGCTGAAGGTCCCATGTTGAGCACAATCCCTTATATCTCACGTTGTGGTAATTGTGCGCCGTTTGTGTGAAGTTGTATGCCACCCTAGAGTCGCCTTGTGTGAGATCGACGGCTGTATAAAATTGGATCAAGGAATAGAAATTACTACTAGAGAAAGGAAAAAAAAATCTTTGAGGAGTGTTGAGCTGTAAGTGAAAGTAAAATTAGAACTGCAAGAATTATTAGACATCATAAATTGTAAGAAGAAAAGAGGCAAATCTGTTGGAGTGCAGAATATATTGTATTTAGTTCTTGCTCTCTGGCTCTCTCTCTCTCTTTCTTTTTTTAGCAGAGCTGTGGATTTTTGATAAAAACCATGAGAAAAATAGCACAGGATACAGATAAAAATGCAGACATTAATGATAAATAACTTTGTAAAAAAATGTATATATGAAACCTGATAGAAACCTCCCTTAGGGAGGTGTTATATTAGATAATATTTTTTTAACAAAACCCTACATATTCTATTTTCAATATATAAAAATCCGCAATGTGTGTGGGAGAGCAAATATTGTCTAATATTTTCCAGTAAGCAAAAAATGGCAAAAGGTTATTTAAGGAACCTTTTTTTCTAGACCTCGGCAAATAATATCCATATAAATGTTTATAAACGTTTATTTATATGCTTTTAAAGACGTCTTCTGAAATAAGTCAGCTTTGACAAAGTATCGCATTGTAATAAAAAGTATATGACTTTTGAATCTGCTTTTTAGCTAGCAACAGGAATGACATTCATTGTTACTGCAAAATAGGAGGTTTGCAAAAAAATTTGAATCTGAACCATTTCAAAGCCAACACTGCCCGTTTCAGATTTATGATTTCCTTGTGTCCAAAAAGGATCTTTTTCAGTCATTCTGAGATAAAAACACCTCTGTTTCAACTTTAAGATCCTCTGTTTCAAGCTTGAAACACTCGAAACTAGAAAATCCTCTTTCAGGAATGAGATAACGGTTCTTGTTTGAAGCATGAAGCATTGAGATATGAAACAGTTGATGAAGTCGTGATATGACATCATCCATGGCACAGAACCTGATTATTTGAGGGACCATTGTTTCCTATAATATTAGCTTGGCCAGTTTGATCCTGCAAGGTTGGCCTTCTTCAGGTTTCTTTGATTAAACAATGCCCCCTCTCAGGCATCCAGAGCAGAGGTGAAATGCTCCCGGTTCAAACCGGATCGCCCAATCCGGTAGCGATGGAGGCAGGTGGTTCAGAGAACTGGTAGCAAAAATCCCTGCCCCCTCCCCATGCCCAGCTGAGCCGTGCGATCATCAGAGACTTTTTTTCTTTTAAAAGCCTCTGACGATCCAAGCTGAGTTGCCTGATCGTCAGAGGCATTTATTTTATTTATTTTTATTTTATTTTATTAAATTTATATACCGCCCTACTCCCGAAGGACTCAGGGCGGTGAACAGCCGAAAAATAAAACACATAGATTACAAAATTTAAAAGAACAATATAAAACCGTATTAAATAAATTTGGCCCGGAACAAATTAAAACACCCCCGATACTTAAGACAGATTTAAAATTTACAATTTAAAAAGTTAAAAGGGAGGAGTTAAGCCAGGTCGGCCTGTTGAAATAAGAAAGTCTTGAGGGTGCAGCGGAAGGTGCGTAAATCCTCCGGATTTTTAAAAGAAAAAAAGCCTCTGCCGATCAGGCAACTCAGCTGGGATCGTCAGAGCCTTTTGAAAGCATTTGTTTTACAACCTCTTCACCGAAGAGGTTGTAGAAAAAAATGGTTTTAAAAGTAAAAAAAAAAAAAAGGCCACCCCCACCCAGTCACATTACCCCACCACCACCAAGCCACACCCACAGAACCGGTAGTAACAAATTTTAAATTTCACCACTGATCCAGAGGTGTGCCTCAGGGGTGGGTTCTAAATTTTTTTACTAACGGTTCTGTGGGCGTGGCTTATTTTGTGGGTGTGGCTTGGAGGTCATGTGACTAGGTTGGCGTGGCTAGCTGGTCAGAGTCATTTCTGGAAGGTCCTCGCATTTATGACCAGTCCTCGCACTTACGACCCGACTCATTTGTTTGCTTTTAACACTGATCAGCTGTAGGACGGCCCTTTGAAGCCCCACGGCAAGAGTTTAAACAGTTTTTTTCCCTCTAGTCATCAGCTGGGACTCAGGAGGCAGCAATAGATTGGGGGTGGGGCCAAATAAAAGGTAAGAATAACGTGGGGGTGGGGGGCTGGGAGGGCGGGGGGGGAGAACCGGTTCGGTGATGTCATATCGTCACCGCTACCGGCTCGGCCGAACTGGACCGAACCGGGAGGAACCCACCACTGGTGTGCCATCTCTGCATCAGTGTCCCTCTGGAATGGGAGTCTCCTCAAGACCCAGATGGCTCTCATTCTGGTACTGTTCAGAAGAGCCATTTAAGATTTGATTCTTCTCCCAGTCCTTCACTTAGGAGAGTGAGACTCCTTGCTTCATCATGCTGGCTTCAAATTTTTAAGTTCTATTCACATTATTGTAATTTGTTGTATTGTTCTGAATCTCCCAGATCATTGAGGGTGGGTAGCATACAAGTTTCATGAATTCTTACAATCAACAACATTATTAGGATGGTACCAATGACACAATTTAAATGTTGCCCTTTGTTGAATGACACCACGATGATCCTATGACTTCTACTTAACCTCTAAATGACTTTGTGTATGCTCATTTCAAAAGATTACCAGAATCACAGTTTTCACAGTTTCAGTCACAAATTGACTTCCGTGGACCTTACTTCATACTTAAGTGGTCGATAGAGGGGGCATGCATAAGTGCACTAATGTGCCTATCATCCCTGTCATTGTATTTTTATTCTCTTATTCTTGTTCTCATTTGTGTTTGACAAATTCCAATAAATAAAATCAATCAATCAATCAATCCTGAAGAGCAACTGCTCGGGTGGACAATAATGGGCTTCAGGGACAATGAATCAATCAGATTTTTCCAACCTTGTGTTCTTCAAATGTGTTGGACAATGGTGAAATCTAAAATTTGTTACTACCGGTTCTGTGGGCGTGGCTTGGTGGGGGGGGTTGGTAATGTGACTGGATGGGCGTGGCCATTTTTAAAAAATTTTTAAACCATTTTTTCTACAACGTCTTCGGTGAAGAGATTGTAAAAGCATGCTATCAAAAGGCTCTGACGATCCCAGTTGAGTTGCCTGATCGGCAGAGGCTTTTTTTTCTTTTAAATGCCTCTGACGATCAGGCAACTCAGCTGGGATCGTCAGAGGCTTTTAAAAGCATTTTTTCTACAACCTCTTCAGAGGTTGTAGAAAAAATGCTTTTAAAAGCCTCTGACGATCCCAGCTGAGCCGCGCGATCATCAGAGGCTTTTTTTTATTTTTAAAAGCATTTTTTCGTCGGAAGAGGTTGTACAAAAAATGCTTTTAAAAGTAAAAAAAAAAAGCCTCTGATGATTGTGCGGCTCAGCTGGGCAGGGTTTTTTGCTACCGGTTCTCCGAACCACCCGCCTCCATCGCTACCAGATCGGGCGATCCGATCCGAACCGGGAGCATTTGATCCCTGGTGTTGGATTTTAACTCCCATCATTCACAGCTAAAATGATTTGGAAATTGGCTATTGGCTGAATTCTCACATACTGGAAAAAACAGTAAGACATTTTTCTGTGTTCCAGTTGTATGACCTTGCCAGTAACGATGACCTAATAATAGCATAATGTACTCGGTCCCCAAAGACTCATTCAGCCAGATAATGATGACCTAAAAAGACTTTTGGCATAATCCAGCAACAACCTTCCCCCCTATACACCCCCATTTTTTATACAGCCCTAATCCGCACAATTGTCCTGTTTTTAAAATCAGCACCATTTATAGCAATGCTCCATCTGGGCCCAATACGCAGTCATGAACCCAATTCTGAATCCTCGTCACTTAGTCCATCTATATTGACTTAGCAGGCCTCGGAATTGCAAAACGAAAGGGTGAGTGGGTGGGAAATAAAAGTTTGTTTTTTGTCAGGCCGTTGAGTCTGGAAATATGACTCAGACTTATAAAGCAAACTTGTCTGAGCAGGGAGGTCATATTTGCAGAGAATTTACTACTTTCTGGAACGCGCTAATAAACAGCGCTCCAAAAAATTGCAATAACCATCTGTGCAAAATTTGCAAGGGGCTGAGGAAAGGGGTCAAACAATTTGGACAGCACGGCTTGGAAAGGCCTGGTTTTCAGAGACCTGAAAGATTAACTATCAGAGGAAAAAAACAAAGCAAAGCATAAACTTCATCTTTGGATTGAAAAAACATATATATAGTTTTTGTGAATGGGCCAGCAGTGACTAATGTAGTAAGCCAGGTTTACAGGGGCGGGCTGCTACGGGTTTGCCTGGGTTCAGGAGAACCCGTAGGTAATGTTATGGCCAGTTCGGAGAACCTCCAAATCCCACCCCTGGCTGGCCCTGCCCATCCCACCCCTCCCTTCCCCTCCCCTCCCTTCCCAGGAGTCTCCACGCAGCCTGTTTTAGATGCAAGATAAGTGCAGGGCCTGCGCGGAGACTCAGGTAGGGGGAAAAAAGGGCCTCCCGGAAGTTCCGGAAGTCTGAAAACAGGCCCGTTTCCAGCCTCCAGAGGGCCTCCAGAGCCCAAGGGAGGCAATTTTCGCCCTCCCAGAGGCTCGAGGAAAGCCTCCGGAGCCTGGGAAAGATGAAAATCCCCCCCCCCCGCCATGGTGCAAGAGGTCAACTAGGCCACACCCACCATGGCCACACCCACCCAGCAACCGGGCAGAGAACCCATTGCTGAAATTTTTGAAGCCCACCCCAGCTTACTAAGATGATGATGATGATGATGATGATGATGATGATGATGATGATGATGACTTCAGTACTTAGTACTTTTATTATAATTTGAACTAGCAAAAGGAAATACTAAAAAGAAATCTTGAATGAGCATCCAATGCCAAATTGTCTGTCTAAAAGAATGCTTGTATTCCAAAGAATTAAAAAGGTATCATTCAACCACCCAATGTACAATTTAATAAAAATCTCTATGATTGAGAAAACTGTTTTTAAAGTTATGAATATTGCACTGAACTATATAGCAACTACTTGGAATATAACATTATATATTTTATATTTATTGATTTATTGATTAGCCAAATTCCTTGTGTGTCCAATCACACTTGGCCAATAAGAATTCTATTCTATTCTATTCTATTCTATTCTATTCTATTCTATTCTATAGGCCAGTGATGGCTAACCTTTTTGCCATCGCGTGCCAGAAAGAGGGGGCGCGGGGCAAGTTCATGCATGTGCCCACACCCATAATTCTATGCGCTCCACCCTGCACATCCTCGCGCAACCCCCCCTCCCCCCTCCCCCACTCCTGGCACGTGATGGCCTAGTAGGCCCGTTTTTCTTTCTCACCTGGCTCCAGATCCTCTCTATGCATCTGGGGAGGGCGAAAACAGCCTTCCCCACCCCATCGGAAGCTCTCCGGAGGCCCGAAACGGTCCATTTTCCAACTTTCGGTTGGACAGGAAATAACGTTTTTGCTGTCCCCAGCCTCGAGGCTCCTAGAGAGAGCTGAGCTGGCGTGCCAGGCGACATGGCTCCGTGTGCCACAGGTGGCACGCGTGCCATAGGTTCGCCATCACGGCTATAGGCCATATCAACGTACAGGTTCAAACGCATATTACCAATAAAATAAAATTCTAAACAGACAGACTCCAGAGAGTCTTCAATTTACAGCTATTGGTTTAGCAACCATCTGAAGTTACAACAGCACTGAAAAAATAGATTTACAACCAGTACTTGTGCTTGTAACTATTGTAGCATCCCTATAGTCATGTGCGAACCGGTAGCATTGCACTCCTGGAATGTGTACACCAGGTTGGATGGGATTTTGTTGAAAACACACAAGGTTTGGGACTTTCTGGGGATTTGTGGGAGGGGAAATAGGGAGACAGTTTGGGGAGATAAGTTAGAAAAGGGAGCTCTGGGAAGAAATTAAAGATTTGAAAGGAGATACGAAACAGATGAAGGCTAGAGTTGATTGCATGGAGCGTGGACTGGAGAAGACAAAGTCCATATGTGAAGTTGGAATTGTTGAGACAACCGATTTGGAAGCTCGGATTAAAGAATTTCAGTTAAGATTTTGTGGAATAACTGAACAACCAAGAGAAGATATTAGATCAAAAATGGTTAAGGCCCTGGCTCAGTTAACTCGCCAAGGGGGAAGGAGAACTGAATTTTGATAATTTGATTAATACATGTTTTGGGGGAAGGTATACACCAGGTTGGATGGGATTCTGTTGAAAACAGACCAGGTTTGGGACTTTCTGGGGATTTGTGGGAGGGGAAATAGGGAGACAGGTTTGGGGGAGATATGTTATAAAAATGTATTGCCACAGTTTCTAGAAATGTCTCAAGAGTTAGCGCAGTTGAAGGGGACTCTCAAGATTGCAACAGTGACCACAAAGACAGAAAAGCAGTTGGAGACCACAAATCGCTCGTTAACCCTGTCCATGGCTGAGTTAAGTTTCGTGCCTCTAACGTTGTAATATTTCACTTAACCATCCCTCTCCAGTAGGAACGAAAGGGGAAGAAGAGATACGAGAAAATGTTCTTTCTTCATAGAGTCCTGGTCATCAATCATGTAACCTCCTTCATCCTTCCACCTCTCTGATTTCTTCTGATAGATCCCACATTATGGAGTCAGGATCATGTGCGTCAGTGGCTAGACTGGGCTATTAAAGAATATGGCTTAATGGAGATTGATACCAACCTCTTCCAGAACATGGACGGCAAAGAACTGTGCAAGATGAACAAGGAGGATTTCCTCCGGGTCACTTCCCTCTACAACACAGAAGTCCTGCTGTCTCATCTCAGTTACCTCAGGGAAAGTAAGTTGCCACTTCATTCCCCCTTGCTACTTTATGACCATCTCACTCACCCCACTGGGATTGGCTCATCCCACTCATGCAGAGGAGGCATGCTGTGAGTCCTGTCAGCCCAATTATTCTGGCTGCTGGGGACCAGGAGAAGGTCCTTCTCTGCTGTAGCTCCTGCCCTTTGGAACATCTTGCCCATCCCCCAATGTGAGGTTGGCCCCAACCCTCCGATCTTTTCATAAGGGCGGAAAGAAGTGGCTCTGCCAGTCGGTTTGGTGCCCCAATGGGGGAACAGCTCAAGGAAGGTGGTGGATTGAGTAACAACAGATCCCATCTCCCACCCCAATCCATCCCCTGCCCTTCCCATGTGTCCTTGGTTTTAACATCTAGTTTAAGCTTTTTATGTTTTAATTGTATATGTTACTGTAAACTGCCAGATTTACTCTATGGTAAGATAGATAGATAGATAGATAGATAGATAGATAGATAGATAGATAGATGGATGGATGGATGGATGGATGGATGGATGGATGGATGGATGGATGGATGGAGGCAGAGGTGGGTTTCAGCAGGTTCTGACCAGTTCTGGAGAACCAGTAGCGGAAGTAGTGGGGGGGGAATGGAGATTTTAAAGTATCCTTTCCCTGCCACGCCCACCAAGCCACGCCCACCAAGCAATGCCACACCCACCAAGCCACACCCACAAAACCGGTATTAAAGAATTTGAAACCCACCACTGGATGGATGGATGGATGGATGGGGATGTGTGGGTGGATGGGTAGGTAGGTAGGTAAGTAAGTAAGTAAATAAGTAATCCGACATGTTCAATGGCTGACATGCTTGCCTTGTATGAGACTTCTCTCCGTTGGTCACTTACTCCGAGAGTAGACTTCCAAGCTTTATTGTCGTAATGAAATCATTGCAAAATAAAAATAAAAATCTAATGATTGTTGGGTACCAAACTCAACCTCAATTTATAGCACTATCTGTGAAACTCACATTTTCAAGCTTTTTTAAATATATATATACTCAAGCAAAGTAAGGAGTTAAAAGCCCTTACCTTTGAGTAAGAAGAACAATTTCCATCTCTCTCTCTGTCTTTCTGTCTCTTTTAGTAATGGACTGATCTAGTATCAGGCTGGTTGTTTGTGTGACAACATGAAAAGTTTTTTTTCCCCATATCCAATTTTGTGTCTCACAACCTTCTCCAGCGTGTGGGTCATCTAGAGAAGTCAGTATTGACAAATTGACAGCCAGCGTGTTCATGGACCACCTTTGCTATGAATTCTAGGAATAATTGTAGAGTCACCAACTAACTGATGGACACCAGGTATGGGAAGTTGGAGTCATGGGTTGACAACTGAAGCGGAGAGTCAAAGAAAGGAGATTTAAGCAAAAAGCGATAACAGATAATAGATTAACAGAGTTGGAAGGTGCCTTGTAAGTCATCCAGTTTAACTCCCTGCTCAAGCAGGAGACCCTACACCATTTCTGACAGATGGCAGTCCAGTCTCTTCTTGAAAGTCTCAAATGATGAAGCTCTCACAACTTCCGAAGGCAACTTCTGTTCCATGGGTTGATTGCTCTCACTGTCAGAAAATTTCTCCTTATTTCTGGTTGAATCTCTCCTTGATCAGTTTCCACTCACTATTCCTTGCCTGGCCTTCAGGTGCCTTGGAAAATAGCTTGACCCCTTCCTCTCTGTGGCAGCCCATCAAATATTGGAAGACTGTTATCATGTCTCCCCTGGTCCTTCTCATCACTAGACTAGCCATGCCCAGTTCCTGCAACCGTTCATCGTAAGTTTTAGCCTCCAGTCCGCTGATCATCTTGGTAGCTGTTCTCTGCACTATGATGATGAGTGATGAGTGATACCAAAAAGAAATGTCAATAAACTGTGCTGGCTCTGTTTTGAGATGCTACCAGGAAGATTACAGCATCAAATCAATCAACCCTATTGGGTGCTGAACATGTTGCATCTCTCGAGTGTTCCTTCCCTAAGAAGGAAGCTTCCTTTTTTTCTACCTTATTCTCAGTGTGATTGAGAAATTCTTTGCCCTTTCTTTGGTGGCATTATTTTAGTTTCCTTTCTTACTGGGAAATGACCAAGATTGTTAGTGGTGATATAGGTGTTATCCATTATACTCTTTCCATTCTTTCTTCTATGCTTCTTTGACTATCCATATTTTCCAATCTGGAAAAATCTTTACGCTTGGAAATTGAATGAAAGGCAAGAAAGTTGCAGAACCTGAAGAAGTGATTATACAGTAGAAGATAAATTATTCGCACACATCCAAAATTGGTCATGATCACATGGTGACCCGCTTAATGACCGACATGACTTACAACTGTAATTCCTGACTCAGTTACAGTTATAAATCAAAGATTATTTGTAATTTATTTTCATGCACAAATTTGCTGCTTATTATTATTTTTTTTAATAAGTAAATGCTACAGCTTCCTATGTAGGTTGGCTCTAAAGGAGTACCTGGTTAAATAAAAGCTTTATCTAAAAATTAGAGAAAATAAACGCTTGTTCAGAATTATGAGCCACAGTGGCGCAGTGGTTAGAGTGCAGTACTACAGGCTACTTCTGCTAACTGTCGGCTGCCTCAGTTTGGCAGTTCAAATCTCACCACGCTCAAGGTTGACTCAGCCTTCCATCCTTTTGAGGTGGGTAAAATGAGGACCCAAATTGTTGGGGGAAATTATGCTGACTCTGTAAACCACTTAGAGAGCACTGTAAAGCAGTATATAAGTCTAAGTGCTACTGCTATAGCTATATATACACACAACGCACAAGCACATAGAGAGGTGTAATTGATTCGTGGGCTATAACTGATAAAATTAATCGGGTAGACTTTCTGTATGCAGAGCAGATGTATTTCCCTTTATGCCCAGCCACAAAGTAAGACAAAAAATATATATACCCAGATGGGTTAGGGAGGAAGTCTTGTTTTGTTTGGTAAAAGAGGAACAAAAAGACAGAGAAAGGAGAAATGCAAACAGGTTATTTGAGTTCAACTCAAAAATCAATTGTCAGTCTGCAACGTTTTCTTCAGTCTGTCTCTCTCAAACGTATTTTGCTTGAATACTCCACCCTGTCCCTATTCCATGGATGGCTGATTTCACACCAGCATCATTTCCCTAGCATCACTTAATTGGTGCTTTCTTTTCTCAGCCCCAATGCAACAGCTTGCAAACTTGTGAAGAAGCCTTTCCCTTGAGACACTCTTTTTTTGCTTTGCAAGAGTGAGATGGCCATACGTCCCATTGTTCTCTCTTGGCTGTCACTGGGATACTCTGATCTATATGGAATCTTCTCTTCATTAAAGCCTGCCTATAGGCCAAGGAGGCTACTGAAAACAACTTCTTTCCAAGCAGCTGTTCTTACATCTGCCTAATGCAGAGGTCAGCAACCCGCAGCTCTGGAGCCACATGTGGCTCTTTCATCCCTCTGCTGTGGCTCCTTGTCGCCGGTTGGCTCCACAATTTATAGGACAGGTAGAGGAAAAAGGACGCCATGCTAAGGGGAGACTCTATGGTGGGGGAACTGGGTTTCCGGTCGGCTCCAGAATTGAACGGGGGGCTTCCAGTTAGGACCTTTGTGGCTCTTTGAGTGTTTAAGGTTGCCGACCCCTGGCCTAATGACAGTCTGGTTTCTGGATTTCTGGGTCACTGCCTTGTGATGCGATGCCTTAGAAAGGAATTTTATTGTTTTTCCAGGCCTAACTTCCTAGGGTCGTTGAATGCTGAGTTGAATGCAGAAGGTGCTGAGGACAGGGGTGGGATTCTACCGGTTCAGACCGGTTCAGGCGAACCAGTAGCTCCGACGATCAGCTGGGAGTGAACCGGTTTGTCCCGCCGATCAGATGGGCCCACCCACCCACCATGCTATTTTCCTACCTTGATCTTCTCAACTGATTCACGTGGCAGAGCAGATTTCCACACCTTAGCTGTGTTTCTCCTCCAAAGAAACACGGAAGAGAAGCGCACGATCACCGAACCGGTTGTTAAACCGGGAGGATCCCACCACTGGCTCAGGAGCTTCGTTCCTTATTTGAGTTGTTAGAAGGAATGTTAGGGATGCTTCAGTCTTGACAGAAGAGAATATTTGTAGCTCATGGTTGAACGGTGGGATCAGAGAGTTTTGATTTGGCTCAAAGGAAAGTTGAAAGTTTTCAGCCCTTTGGTGGGGAAAAAAAAACTTCGTATAAAATTATTTGCACGAACTCTTCTAAGGTATCCTCTTTCTCCCTCCCCTATATAAAAAGCTGGCTTTAATTGGCAGCGGGCGTATTGTAAAAATAAATAAAATGGAAGTTTCAAAAGCAGTATGTGTGTTCAAAAATAAGAACTACTTCTTTTCCTGATGTTGGGTGGCTCCTTGGTTATAGTCAACTTTGCATGAGCAAGAATAAAATAAAAGATCCTTCCTTCCTTCCTTCCTTCCTTCCTTCCTTCCTTCCTTCCTTCCTTCTTTCCTTCCTTCCTTCCTTCCTTCCTTCCTTCCTCCCTCCCTCCCTCCCTCCCTCCCTCCCTCCTTCCAAGAAAACACACATCATGTCATGCGGTCCAAAGGAAAGATCTCTTTCATTTGGCTACTTTCAACCAAAAATGGTCAATTTATATGCTGTGACTGAAAGGGACTCCTGAGTTTCTTTCTTTGGGATCCATTGGGGATTGTGTTCATGATACCATTGAACTGTCCTGTCCTGTCCTGTCCTGTCCTGTCCTGTCCTGTCCTGTCCTGTCCTGTCTGATCAGACAGACAGACAGACAGACAGCTAACCTTCCTTCCTTCCTTCCTCCCTCCCTCCTTTCCTTCCTCCACCTCCCTCCCTCCTTCCCTCCCTCCACTCCTCCCTCCCTCCCTTCCTCCCCCCTCCCTCCCTCCCTTCCTTCCTTCCTTCCTCCTCCCTTCCTCCCTCCCTCCCTCCCTTCCTTCCTTCCTCCCTCCCTCCTCCCTCCTCCCTCCTCCCTCCTCCCTCCCTCCCTCCCTCCCTCCCTTCCTTCCTCCCTTCCTTCCTCCACCTCCCCTCCTCCTTCCCTCCCTCCACTCCCTTCCTCCCTCCCTCCCTCCCTCCCTTCCACCAGGACTTAGATACTGAAATATTAGGATACAACTGAGAATGTACATACACACCCCACATCCCTGAGTCTCTTTCACGAATTCTTCCACCTATCTGGAATTAGTAACAAAAATGTCCCCAAATGTGGTGTGACTTCAGGCATCGGGTGATTGATCGATTGTGGCATTGCTCTTGCTTAGATTTGAAAGCTTGCTCAATAAAGATTCCAGATCTGGGTTTTCCGCTGACTTTGGTATTTGGCAAATTTTGCTGTGTCTGGTTCCCCCTCCCCTCCCCCCACTTACCCCAATTTGTCTTCTCTTGCCTCTTTCTTTTCAACATCTTAATAGGAAACACATTTTTTCCTCTCCGGTTCTGGTGTTCCCACCAGAAATGTCAGACCGTTGGGCAAAGGTGAGAACTTGAACCAATAAACTCAGGGCAACTTTTCCACTCGCTCAGCAAAAGTAGAGCCTGCTTTATTTGACTGCTCCTTGATGTGGGTATTTCCTCCTTTTTTTCCTTTCTGTCGTGCCTACCTTCCTCTTCCCGTCCCCATCCAATGTGTCCGTCCACATTTGAGCTGCAAAGAGACAGCTTGTTTAATCTCTGGAAAGCTTTTGGACTTTGCCAGGGGAACTGGTATTCGTCATGCTGAGCACCGGGAATGAGGATCTGTCTCGAATTTGCCAGAAAATGTGTCAGCCGTAAATTTGCTTTCTCACAGTTATTTGAGAACAAAAAAAAATAATGTACAAAATGCCAGGGATATAGGTTTAGAAAGCCGCTATAGACATCATTCTTCTACTTTGCCCAGTTTCATAGACCTCTTGTGATGCCTACTGGGGTTCTTGCCCAGATTCCTGCACCACCTGGCATAACTAAAAAATATCTTATAGTTATAAAGAATAGTTAGTGGAATTGGGTAGGTCTAGTTTAATGAAAAGAAGGACTAGGGGAGACAGGATAGCAGTGTTCCAATATCTCAGGGGCTGCCACAAAGAAGAGGGAGTCAAGCTATTCTCCAAAGCACCTGAAGGCAGGACAAGAAGCAATGGGTGGAAACTAATCAAGGCCAGAAGCAATCTAGAACTAAGGAGAAAATTCCTGACAGTTAGAACAATTAATCAGTGGAATGACTTGCCTCCAGAAGTTGTGAATGCTCCAACACTGGAAATTTTTAAGAAGAGATTGGACAACCATTTGTCTGAAATGGTATACGGTTTCCTGCCTGAGCAGGTTGAACTAGAAGACCTCCAAGGTCCCTTCCAACTCTGTTATAGCAATAACATTTAGACTTATATACCGCTTCAAAGTGATTTACAACCCCCTCTAAGCAGTTTACAGAATCAGCATCTTTCCCCACAACAATCTAATTAATTATTTTACCAACCTCGGAAGGATGTATGGCTGAGTCAACTTTGAACTGGTGAGAATTGAACTGTTGAACTGCTGGCAATCAGTGGTCAGCAGAATTAGCCTGAAATACTGCATTCTAACCATTCTGCCACCATGGCCCTTTATTCTGTTATTCTTTTAAATAAACAGACAGTTGTATATGGACAAGCAAACACCAGCCCTTTAATTTAATCTTTATTTATACAAATGCTTTTGTGCCTCACTTAAATCTCATTGGGGTCCTTCATGTTGCTCTAGCCCAAAATTTTGTTTGGAAATTTGCCCTCCTGCCCAAGAATTAAAAAAAAAAAAAAACTTTAGGATTTTAGAGAGCTTCTGAAGGAGGTGAGTGTCAGAGCAAATTTACCATTGACTACCAGGAAATTTTGGATGGGGGATTTGAGAGGAGGTCAGGCTTTCTTCTTCAACAGTGGCTTTCCATAATCAAAGAGATTCTCCTTTTATGTCAGGGGTGTCAAACTCGATTTCATTGAGAGCTGCATCAGGGTTGTGTTTGACCTCAGAGGGCCGGGGGTAGGGGCGTGGCCAGGGAGTGTGGCCATGGTGGGAGTGGCCACAGTGGGCATGACATGGGACTTGTGTGAGAGGCACCTGTGAAGGCCAAGTGGTAAGGAAGACCCTCCCTCCCTCTCATTATAATCTCCTTCCTTCCTTCCTTCCTTCCTTCCTTCCTTCCTTCCTTCCTTCCTTCCTTTCCTTTCCTTTCCTTTCCTTTCTTCCTTTTCTTCTTTTTCCTTCCCTCTTCATTCTCCTTTCTTCTTCCTTCCCCTCTTTCCTTATTTTTCCTTCCATGCTCTCTTCCCATTTTTTTCTTTGTCTTTCCTCTTTCCCTTTCTCCTTTCCTGTCCCTTCTTTCATGCTGAAATGCAAAAGGGGAAGCATTTCTCCTTTTGCTTTCCTTTTAGGTTGTTTTGATGGTCCTCTGCCAATGAAAACGGAGCTCAAGAGGGCCATGCGGGGCCCCTCTGGACCCCATTTTCTCTGGCAGAAGGTTGTAAGAGGTCATTGTGGCTGAAAACAGGGCACAAGGGGGGTACATGTGCCCCCCCAAACTCAATTTTCACTGGCAGAACCACTGCAGGCTGGTCCTTTGCTGTTTCCAGGCCGGCCCCATGGGCCAGATCTAAGGCAGGCCTTGAGTTTGCCACCCCTGTTTTATATAGTGGCATTCATCTTAATGAGCTTCTAATTTGCAGTGCTATAGGCCAAGAAGAAGTATATTCATCTACACATTTGGAAGACACTGAGAGTCCCTAACTACCTTGTCTTCTAGAATTTGTCCAATTGAGTTTCATCTGCAAGGGGAAGGACATATATGATTTCTTCAGTTCTACAAAATTTATTTCATTTATTTATTTTATTAGTCATATTTCTATGCCGCCCACTCTCCGAGGACTCTGGGCGGCTTACACCAAGGACAGTATACTAAATAACATATTGCCCCCTAACAATCTGGGTCCTCATTTTACCCACCTCGGAAGGATGGAAGGCTGAGTCAACCTTGAGCCAGTGAGATACATAAAATAGTCAACCCACGACCATGTTTAATGACCATTTGAACTTACAATGGACTCTAAAGAAGTTCCTTATAACCCATCTTAGATGTTACAACTGCTGTCACTATCAGATGGTTGATCTTACACGGTGGGCAGAAATAATGGGATAGAGGCAGTTTCTCACAGTCCTACACCATGAAAAAAAACATGGGTGGTAATTAGCTCTTTGAGTTGCATCTGGAAGATCACTGGTAACCAGTACAGTTTTCTTAAGAGAGGTTTTACATGGGTGTATCACAGGAGTGGGCTTCAAAAATTTTAGCAAGGGGTTCTCTGCCCGGTTGCTGGGTGGGTGTGGCCATGGTGGGCGTGGCCTAGTCGGCCTCCTGCACCACGGTGGAGGGGGATGTTTTCGCCCTACCTGGGCTCCGGTGGCTGTCCTCGAGCCTCCGGGAGAGCGAAAACGGCCTCCCAGGCTCCGGAGGCCCTCTGGAGGCTGGAAACAGGCCTGTTTCAGGCCTTCCCAAACTTCTGGTAGGCCCGTTTTTCACCCTCCCCGAGCCTCCGTGCAGGTCCTGCACTTACCTCCATCCAAAACAAGTCGCGTGGGGACTCCTGGGAGGGGAGGGGCCAGGTAGGCGGGTGGGGCCAGCCAGGAGTAGGATTTGGGGGTTCTCCAAACTGCACAGAATCTTAGCTAGAGGTTCTCCTGAACCCCTGCAAACCCCTACCCCTGCTGTATCAAAAAGCAGCCATCATTGCTTCTATTACTGTCCTCTGGACCAGCCGTAGCAGCTGAGTGGTCTATAGAACACATTGCAATAATCAACCTGTGAGAACACCGAAGCATGAGTGACCTTGGGCAAGACTCTTGATCCAGGGAAAGATGCAATTTCTACAGACTAAATTCATTCTGTTTGTTCTTTGCAGGTAGTTCCTTGCTGTCTTACAACACACCAACCCACCCAGATCCACCACCTCGTGTCAATACCAAAGAAGGTGAGTTCTTGGTATTTGCTCATAGTAATCATGGTTTGTCTTTAATGAAGAGTGGCTTGATTTGGGGAAGAATACCAAGGAAAGTGGTTCAAAGTAGCTGTAAAATCCATGGCCCCAAAGAAGGAAATAAGGACTCCATCATGGAAGAGATGGAGGTATAATGACAGAATGGATGCGTAATTCAGTACAGTTGGCCTGCAAATATTCAAAAATATTGTACTGTGTTAATATAAAGAAGAGAAAATTGCATGCAAATATGTCTTTCTATGACGAAAATATGGACCAAAATATATGCTAATGTGACAGTGACATACAGGTACTCCTCAACTTATAACTGTAATAGAGACCAAAATTTTTATCATAAATCATGATGGTCATAGGTAGAGGCATCCAGACCTGATTTTTTTGTGGCAGTTGTTAAGTGAACACAGTGGTGAATCCATGTACGCATATTGAGCATAACAGGAAATATTATGATTCTATTGGTTTATCAGAATGGGCTTTGTTCTTTTCTTCTGGTTAATAATAGAAAGATGATAGATGATAGATGATGGGCCGCGGTGACGCAGTGGTTAGAGTGCAGTACAGCAGGCTCCTTCTGCTGATCACCAGCTGCCAGCAGTATGGCAGATCGAATCTCACCAGGCTCAAGGGAGACTCAGCCTTCCATCCTTCCGAGGTCGGTAAAATGAGGACCCAAATTGTTGGGGGCAATAGGCTGACTCTGTAAACCGCTTAGAAGAGATTGTAAAGCATTGTGAAATGGTATATAAGTCTAAGTGCTAGTGCTATGGAAGGGAGGGAGGGGAAGGAAGGAAGGAAGGAAGGAAGGAAGGAAGGAAGGAAGGAAGGAAGGAAGGAAGGAAGGTTAGCTGGCTGCCTGGCTGATCAGACAGGACAGGACAGGACAGGACAGTTCAATGGTGTCATGAAAGCAATCCCCATGGATCCCAAAGAAAGAAACTCAGGAGCCCCTTTCAGCCACAGCGTATAAGTTGACCATTTTTGGTTGAAAGCAGCATCATGTCTCAGCCAATGAAAGAGATCTTTCCTTCGGACCGCATGACATGATGTGCGTTTTCTTGACCACTGCCAGTGGAGCGAGGATAGAGATAAGAAAGCACGGAGTGCAATGATAGCCCCTTGCCAGGTCAATCAGTGGGGTGGAGAAGTGAGTGAAGAGACGAGTGAACGTCATATAATGCTGTTGGGAAGACACAGCATCTACATGGTTCCTAGAAGGCTTCAGTTCAGCCTCGGTTGAGGGTGCTGTCAGATTCTATACTGACCCTCCAGCCATCTGCTCCAGAGACAGAAACGCACGTGTGTGCCAAGGCCCCGAGAATCAATGCTGCATCTTGCAGGTGCTGCTTTTATTTCCAAAAGCAATTGCCCACTTGAGCTGCCGGCTCCCTCCTGCTACCGCTCTTGCCACTTAGAGCAGCCCCAGATTTCAGAAGCGGGGTGGGTGGGATGGGGAGGGGGGAAGCAAGGTAGCCATGAAACAGTTTGCAGTCCAGCCCTGTGCAACCGCCTCTCCTGTTGAATAGTTTCCCATTTAAATAAACCCAAAGGGCTGTTCAAACAAAGCGAAAAGCACAGCGCTTCGATCGGCCAACGGTAAATACACTCTACCCCGGCATGCTTGGCTCTCGTGCTTTTTGGAGCCAGGCAGGTGCTGCCCCTCTAAACAGAAGACGGGAGGCCGAGGGGAGAGAGAAAACTCATCCGATAAAGATAATACTTCTGGCTTTGGTTTGTTTTTCATGTAGTGCTTTCCAGGACACTCCGTTCATGGACAAAAGCGAATATAGCTTTTCTTCTCCTTTTGAAACGTTCAATTAAAACAATGAAAAACATGAGAAGAAAATAATATGCCAGGCTGCCTGGCTTGCAATAGCATGCTAAGTCTTTTCCTTCATCTTCGCTTTCTCCTTCTTCTTCTTTTTCTCCTTCTCCTTCTTTTGTCCCTCCCTTCCTCCTTTCTTCTTCTCCCATCCCTCTTCTTCCCCTCTCCTTTTTCCCTCTCCCTCTCCTTCTCTTCTCCTCTCTCCTCCCTCCCTCGTCTCTCCCTGCTTTCCCTTTTCTTCTCCTCTTCTTCTCCTTCCTTCCTTCCCATTATTAAATGCAGTAGATTACGCATTACTACCATAGAGTAAAATATTCCAGATTTCTACACCTCTAATAAAAAAGTAATGGGAAAATGAGTTTCCTACAGAAAGCTTAATTGTAGTTTTTAAAAAGTGCTATCCGTTTTAAAAAAAAAAAACTTTCCAATTTGCTTTCTCCTCTCTTATACACGTAAATGTTTACGGTACTTGAATGAATTAGGCATTGCTATCTTCATTCTTCCATACACATGTAAGCACCTGTATTAAATCAAAAAGCAGAATAACGTGGCGGTGAAAATAAGAATAACTTGGTATTCAGCTCTACAACCAAGATTTCCACAGCTTAGCAAATTGGGACCTTATATTTGCTTCAACTGCCAAGTTCACATTTTCCCCAATATTGTTATTTTTCGATTCCGCATCATTATTGTGTGGCATTATACATTTTAATGAGTTTGTGGAGGGGGCCAGGGAGCTGTGGTTCTTGGACAACCTAGAAATGTAATGAGGAAAAGGAAAACTCTGAAGATGACAAATAGCAGGGACTGTAGAAGCCCAGGCTCCGTGCAAGATGCATGAAAAAAATGGGCTATCACTTTTCCTCAGATTAAGACTACCATAATCCTGAGAAAAACTCTAGAAAGTATGTGTTGCATGCATTGATGTAGATGTAGATATATATCTCTTCCTGGCTGGCTCAGTTATTAATCAGCATTCACAGTTAGCACTCTATTCACTAAACATATCCACTTAGTCCTAACAGTTGTGGTTTTACTCAGGGACCCGCTAAGAAAGTCTCTGCCGGCCTTCACATTAATCTGATTTGAAGTTCCTGCAACAGGTTCCTTTGGAATCAAGCCCAACCTCCTTGGACATTGGCCATGATTCCACGCCAACAAATTCCCTTATGTTTTCCAGAGTAGGGCACCTTGGTCCAAATTGTCTTCATCTGTTTTGGAGACTAGGATTGTTCTAATGAGAATCATCCAGTTTTCTTTGGCCAAGAAACAATTTTCTTATAAATGAAAGGAGATTCCCCAGGCTCTGAGTAGAACGGCTGGAGCCTATCTGCTTAGTTGGTTTTAACGGGAATAAGTCTGCTTCAGTTTTCTGAGTCTGGCAGTTCAGTGATGGTATCGCAGACTTTCAACCCATAGAGAGATTCAGGAGGTGAGGCGTCCCTAAGAATATGCTTGGTGTAGCCAAAACTATGATTTAGTGTAGCAATGAGAAACATTTTGAATCCAGGGGTCCTTGGTGCTCTCTGAGCTTGGTTGTTTTCCTGCAGATATTACATTACCCAACTAGGTAACATTATCAGTGCTAAGAAGTGGGGTTTATTCTCAATTTGTATTGATTAGGGGTGACATGATAGCAGAGTTCCAATATTTCAGGGGTTGCCACAAAGAAAAGGGAGTCAAGCTATTCTCCAAACCACCTGAAGGCAGGACAAGAATCAATGGATGGATGGAAACTAATCAAGGAGAGAAGCAACCTATAAGTAAGGAGAAATTTCCTAACAGTTAGAACAATTAATCAGTGGATGACGATTTGCCTCCAGAAGTCGTGGATGCTCCAACACTGGAAGTTTTTAAGAAGAGATTGGACAACCATTTGTCTGAAATGGTGTAGGGTTTCTTGCCTGAGCAGAGGGTTGGATTAGAAGACCACCAAGATCCCTTCCAACTTTTTGTTCCAAAGGTGCTTTTCAAGAGGCAACTGGACTCTCTGGTTTTTCTTTGAAAACGTTTTGCTTCTCATCCAAGAAGCTTCTTCAGCTCTGAAGCTTCTTGGATGAGAAGCGAAAAGTCCAAGAAAAACCAGAAAGTCCAGTTGCCTCTTGAAAAGCACCTTTGGGACAACCATGACCTGAATGACTGAGAATCTCCAGAGACTTCCAACTCTTTGTATATTCTAGTGGCTTGCCCTGTCGGTTTTGGTGTTTGTCATGGAAGTTCTTTAGTTGGGCTAGCACAGGGGTCAGCAACCTTAAACACTCAGAGACACAAAGGTCCTAACCGGAAGCCCCCCATTGAATTCTGGAGCCGATCGGAAGTCCGGTTCCCCCCACCATAGAGTCTCCTCCTAGACTGGCATGCTTTTTCCTCTACCTTTCCTAACTGAAAGTCCTATCAATTGTGGAGCTGACCGGCGATAGGGAGCTGCAACAGAGGGATAAAAGAGCCACACGTGGCTCCAGAGCCACAGGTTGCTGACCCCTTGGGCTAGAACTTTAGTTGGGCTAGAATAGAATAACAAAGTTGGAAGGGACCTTGAAGGGCTTCTAGTCCAACCTCCTCCTTAGGCAGGAAACCCTACCACCATTTCAGATAAATGGTTATCCAACATCTTCTTGTTTGTTTGGCTGTTTACTATTAGCTTGTTTGGCAGTTAACAATAGCTAAAACAGTAAACAGTTCAACCAAAGAACTACTTCAAGACTACTCCCGACAACACTGATAGGACAAGCCATTAGAATATAAATTGAGAGCAAACCCCACTCGCTACTAGGGCTGACGATGTTAACCTACGTTGAGTAATGAAAGATCTGCACGAAAACAACAAAGCTCAGAGAGCACCAAAGATTCCTCATTTCAACCCTGAGCTACAAATATTCTCCTTTACTGATATACTTTTCTTAAGGCTTCAAGGCCATCACAGGCTTTCAAAGTATGGGAAAGGTTTGCATCATACAGAGGAGTAAAACCATAAGGCTCAATTTCCTTCTGCAGGATAGGATCTTTGCTGTTTTTCTTTTAAAATGATCAACATGTTCAGGGTTTATTCTGCAGTTTTTGCATTTCCTATCCCACCATGGCAGGAAATCTTTACAACCTCAGCAATTGCAGTCACAGTGAGAGCCCCCAAGTGCCGCCATGCTTCAATTTA